TTCTGTCTCTAGGTTCTGTGTAGGTTCTGTGTCTAGGTTCTGTGTCTAGGTTCTGTGTCTAGGTTCTGTGTCTAGGTTCTGTCGTCTTGTTACATCTGTATTTATACCAGATTCCAATCCTATCAATCTCTATTCCAAAGGTTAGGGCGTTTTTTAATCTCCATTCCAGGGAGTAAAGATTATGTAGCTTAAGCATGATTGTTCGTAGTTAAAGTGATTAATTACCCGCCTGGCACTTAGTTAAGGGGTTTTATTCCCTCCCTAACTTCAGGGGGAAATCCCTACCTGGGGAAACAACCTTTCTCAGAGAGGTGACCTTGGTTAAAACACATAGTGCCAAGGTAAGCAAACATATTAAGAACAGTATGCCATATATGCCAGGTCCCTTGAAACAGCAAGGATAGACCGGCTCCCGGCACTTCCACACTCAAAAGTAAATGTTAATGGAAAACTACAGGAGCAACCGCCAAGAAAAGGCAGGATGTTTAAGGGCTCACTCTTTGGGAATGAAGGTTTGAGTCACTTCACAGAGTAAAGAAACCCAACTAGCTGGGTTGGTGTCTTTAGTTCATTCAGGCTGCTATAACAGAATACCAAAGAATGGGTGGCTTATAAACAACAGAACTTTATTTCTCACAGATCTAGAGACTGGAAATTTCAAGATAAAGATTCAGATCTGTTGTCTGGTGAGGACCTGCTTCCTGGTTTATAAACAACTAGAGGCCTAGTGCACTACATTCGTGCACTGGGGGGGGGGGGGGGCACGCAGGGGGGAGACCCTCAGCCTGGCCAGCACCCTCTCGCTCCCCTAAGCCGACAGATGGACATCCCCTGAGGGGTCCTTAGTGGTGCCACGGAGGAAAGGCGGGAGAGGCTTTCACCAGCTTTGAGCCTGGCTTCTGGCTGAGCGGTCTGCCCCCTGGTGGTCAGTGCGTGTCATAGTGATGGGTTGTTTCACCATTTGGTCGATTTGCATATTAGGCTTTTATTATATAAGATTGTCTGTCTGGTGTGTCTTCATAAGGCATAAGGAGGAAGTGAGCTTTCTGGGGTCTCTAATCCCATTCATGAGGGCTTTGCCTTCATGACCTAATCACCTCCCAAAGGCCTCACATCCAAATACCATCACAGTAGGGATTGGTTTTCAACATATGAATTTGGGGGGGGTGAGGGGGGGGGCACACACAAATATCCAGTCTATAGCGGCATGGATGAGATAAAATTAGCTGTGAAATAAGAAAGCCATACATATTAATTACAGCCTTGTGACCAACATATAAATGAGGACTATAGCAAGATTGCATATTTTCTATTTGCTTGTTATACCATTGTATAGGAATTTAAATGTATATAGATGAATGCATATGGAAGATTAATTAGTCAGATGAGAAGACAGATGCTGGTTATAGATTTAGTGCTACTCAGCACCAAATTCACCCTTTTAGACTACTTTGTAGAAATGGATCTGCGCCCTTTCAATATTTCTTTTCCTGTGCTAGCTAGCAGTAACTTTTTGTTAGGACACTGGAGAGAAACTGCAAAAGGAAAGGGGTTCAGCTTCCTAGTCTGGTGTGATTACTTGGTAGCCTTCTGCAGAATGTGCAGCTCCTCCTGTCCCAGGCTCCTAGCTACTCTGGTGCCTGGCTCTTGCAGTGTACTGGCCAGAAGGTTTCTTATTTCTCCCACCCCCACCCTCCCAATGGTTTTATAGCAAAGTACTTTAGGCTCCTAAGAAAACTCCTCAGTGAATGTAGTTGATGGGTTCTTGTAACTACAGTGGAACAATGTATGACAAAAAACCCCAACAATTTACCATTGGCTAATTGATATAAACAAAAGTTAAGTTCCTAGGGCACCTCAACAATTTTATAGTAAAATGACATTGAACAAAACAACATTATTCAAGGACCTGCAACATAACTTATCCAGCACTAGATTCAGTGCACTCATTTTCCCCAGTGTCTGCAGTGCACAGTGCCAGCAGCTTCACCCGCTATTCCCACACCCAGCTGATTTTGTGGCAGAGTGTCTCTGGTGAGACACCTTCCCTGGACAACTTTTTTGGGCTTCTTGGAAAGCAGATCTCCAGCAAGTTAAAGAGGACAGATTTTCGGCAGCATACAGCACAATGACTTCTCTACCATGGCTATGCCCTCTTCAACAGGGTCTGGATCTCAGCCCTGAAAGGGGGATGAACTCTTCCTTTCTTAGAAACTCTCATATCTCAGTCTTGGGGTTAATGACTGCTCCTTGTAAGTTTTCCCCCCCTTTATTTGTTTTACTGTAACTGTTTATGTTTTTTAGAATTCTCCTTACTTCTTACTAGACAATCCCTCATTATTGTAACCTCTTGTTAGAAAGAATCATTCTTTACATTAAATATTCTCACCTAGTGCTTGCTTCGGCAGCACATATACTAAAATTGGAACAATACAGAGAAGATTAGCATGGCCCCTGCGCAAGGATGACATGCAAATTCATGAAGCGTTCCATATTTTTTCTGCACTTATAGAAAGTCTAGACTTTTGCCTGAGTTGTTTAATAATAAAATATTACATTTTTTTCCCAAGGGGGGAAAAAGAATTCTCACCTATCACTATGTAGTTTCTTTCTCCTGATTGGACTGGGGCTGATACTAAAAGAAACCAACAATTCTAGAACTGGCACAAGGAGGTAACAAGATAAACATGTTCATCTTTTTTTAAAATTCTCACCCAACGATATTTTTCCATTGATTTTAGAGAGAGTGGAAGAGAGAGGGAAAGACAGCGAGAAATATCGATGTGAGAGAAACACATGGATTGGTTGCTTCCTGTACAAGCCCCAACCAGATACATGCCCTTGACCAGAATCGAACAAGGGACCCTTTGGCCCGCAGACCAACACTCTATCCACTGAGGCAAACCGGCTAGGGCTGTCCATCTTTTTATATTAGGAAGCAAAAAAGTGCTCAGGTAGCCAAAGTTATGACATTTTAAGCATCAAAAGAATGATTTTAGTGGAAACCCTGAATCAATGAAAACCCATGAGTCCATAATACTCCATAAAAAGATAGCCAGAAAAAATAAAACAGTAACATTTGAGGCAGCTTTAAAACAAATCCTTATTTTAAAAACAAGAAATTAAAAAAGAATTAAGACATCTTGACTTTCTAATAGAAACTCAGGAGATTGCCAACTAATATGTAGTAGAATTATCCTATATAATAATAGACAAACATGGTAATTGACTGTACCTTCACTACACCTCCCAATGGCTAATCAGCAAGATATGCAAATTAACTGCCAACAAAGATGGCGGTGCAAAGTGGCGGAGCGAAGACTGAAGGCGGCTCCGGTCGGAGCAAAGGCCTGGGTCCCGGGTGCCAGAGGAAAACCGGTGCCGGCAGCCAGGGGAAGGGAAGGCCTATTGCACGAATCTTTTCGTGCAACAGGCCTCTAGTACAATTAATAAAATACTATTTGGCAAGCCACAATGAAAGTGGCAACAATTATAAACTAGAGTTTGAAACATTAGGCAAAAAGTTGACATGGAATAGACACTTGTAAAATGATAAACTACCATCACACAAATTGCATTGTATTACAAGGGGAAGACAAAGTTTATAACAGAGAAATCAGACTGTCATCATCTTAATCCAGTCAATCCTAGCATCAGAAATGAAAGGCCAACCAAAAAGTATTTATATTCTGATAAGATGTACATGAAGTAGCTGTGATGTATTCTAGCCAAAAATATTTAACCTTTAAATTAACCATCAAGCCTTTCGTCTTTCTCAACCGGGGTTCTGGGAAAGAATTAAGTCCTGCAGAAAATGATTTTTAGTAACTATTTCCTCAATTATCCCAAGGATGGTATATAATAGCTGGTACTATTATTAATACATTGGAAAAAATTCATTACATACAATGGATGCATTAATATCATTAAGGCTTAATTCTCTTGGAGAATCCCTATGAAGTCTGGCTTTGGATATAACTTACAAATAGAGGACTTACAGAGAACAGAAAAACAAACTAAATGAAACAAAGACAAAACAATCAGAAAATTCAGAAGGTAAGGTATTTTTTTTTTTTTTACACATTTTTTTTTTTAAATATATTTTATTGATTTTTTACAGAGAGGAAGGGAGAGAGATAGAGTTAGAAACATCGATGAGAGAGAAACATCGATCAGCTGCCTCCTGCACATCTCCTACTGGGGATGTGCCCGCAACCCAGGTACATGCCCTTGACCGGAATCGAACCTGGGACCTTTCAGTCCGCAGGCCGACTGAGCCAAACCGGTTTCGGCGAAGGTAAGGTATTTTATAAAACAACTGGTCCAATCTCTTCAACAAATCTGTGTCATTTTGAAAAAGGGGAAGAGAGACTATGATTAAGAATCATAATAACCACCTGGCCATTGTGGCTCAATGGTTGAGTGTCCACCCATGAACCAGGAGGTCATGGCTCAATTCCCGGTCAGGGCACAAGCCCATGTTGCAGGCTTGATCCCCACTGCAGGAGGCAGCCAGTCAATGATTCTGTCTCATCATTGATGTTTCTATCTCTCTTTTTCTCTGAAATCAATAAAAAAATATATTTTTAAAAAGAATCATAATAGCCCTAGCCAGTTTGGCTCTGCTCAAGTGCATAGAATGTCGCCAAAGGGTCCCTGGTTTGATTCCAGTCAAGGGCATGTACCGTGGTTGCAGACTCCTCCCGGCCCAGGCCCTGGTCAGGCCATGTGCAGCAGGCAACCAATCAATGTGTTTCTCTCACATATTTCTCTTTCCCTCTCTCTTCCACTCTCTCTAAAAATCAGTTTTTTAACATATGCATTTGGAAAGCCTACTTTATTATATAATGGACTTTCAGCTTTAATGGAGGATAGACGGACACCCCCTTGCCCGAATTAGTCTTTTATATCGAGGTTTTACTATAATGAAACTGAAGAACAAAATAACCACCATGGCTTTTTGCTCCTACACAGCAACTTCATATTGCAAACCTACTCACCAATAGAGATACCACTGTACTAGAGTAGAAGGCCAAATCTTCTATTATTTCTGTGCGTCGGTTAGCTCCAATTCGTAAGGAACGACTATGTACTTCTTCAGGTAACACTGTAAGGATCTCCAGCAGAAAAGGCAGAGAAGTCACATCATTGCTATATCTAGAAAAGAAAAGAGAGACATAAGATACTTAGAGTCAGAAAGAACACAATCACATAAGGTAACAAGAACCATCAGAATAACCTATGACAACAACTTTTGAAGGGTATCTGAAAACCAAAATTTCAACTTGCATAATCTTTGACCCAACAATTTCACTTCCAGATATATTTCTCAGAAAAATCTTATCGGTACATACAATCATTAATATGAAATATAGGAATAAGGAGAAAAAAGGTGTTTGCTTTTTACTTTGAAATAAAATAAACTATCCATATAAAGTCTTTAATGACACACTATGCTTGGAGGTAAAAAGGACATTCACTAAGTTCAAAAATAATGTCCTGACCAAATGCCAAAATGCAAACAAATATCAAGATTATCTTGCCAAGACCATGAGGAAATGCTTTATTCAAAGTAGCAGGCTCCATGTATCTAAAAATAATATTGTCCCTGTAATAGACATGAAACACACCCCAATTAGTAAGAACGTATACTCACAACAATTTACAATTTTCAATTTATTATCATCTTAAACATCCTAAAATATTTTTATGGAATTGCTGATTTATCAATGAGAGTGATCCATGAGGCAATGAAAAGACTTTGCTGCAGTTGATTCAAGTGATGTGTGTGCATGTAAATTATGAGGGTCTTTTATGTTCCACATGACATATTTTTATAGTATTTAAATTTTAAATGATTTTCTTTTAACCTAACAACACTTAATAATAAATAATTCTATGTTAAGAGTTTGGGGAAATAGTGCAAATGTCTAGCTATTGCTAACAAATTTCTCTGTGTAAGTTAATAGTAATCCCAAATGCTAGCATACAGTCAATACAAGTTACTTACTTTTCCACCAATGTTTGTACACACCCCTTCCATGAAGGCATCTGTAGGGCAAGGTCTGCTATTGCTAAAGCCAGCTGAATAAGAAGAGAAATTAAATAAATGAATAGAACAGATGAACAGAAATAGGGTTACCATCAGTATTAATTGACAAGAAACAAAAAATTTCTTCCAAACAATAACAAGACTGACACCCACAACTATCTATATCATACACACTCTCCCAGGTTAGCTACAAATTACTGGGATTTAAAGGTAACCTTTAAAAATGAAAAAAAAGAAGAAAAAAAAAAGAACAGACAATAGATTTTCCTCAGGATATAACAATACTTACTTTTATTTGGCAATACCATAGAACTTCATGGACAGAGAAATTTTACTTTGTCAAAAAGCCAAAGCTACTGACAAAGTCAGCCCATTGACTTACTCCTCAAGTAATGAATTGCCATTTCCCATCTTGAAGACTCATGCAAAAGCCTCCTTCCTCTTCAAGGGCACTTCTATGCCAGGCAAAGAACACATATGTATGTATTCACTGAAGCTTCAGTTTTCCTTCCTAAAGTTATTTCCCTGTCTAAGGGGGAAAGGCCAAATGCTCTACTTCACCATTTCATTCATGACACTTTTATTAGCCAATCAGTCCAGAAAAGATTTTTTTAAAGGCAACTACATAGACCGCTGGCCCAGAATAGCACAGTGTTTTCATCATCTGCAATTTTAAGAAGGGGGGGGGGGGGGGAGCATGTGGCTGTCTATGAAACCTATACTCAACTCCCCCAGTCCCAGTATTTGCTAGTTTAAAATGAACTCTAAGATTAATACAAAATATTTAAATTTTCACTTTCTATCCACTTATAAGAATATAGCAATTAGTGTGTAATAAAGTTGTTAACATTACTTCACATGGTCTGGCAATGTTAATAAAAATTAGTTTGATATCCAAATGGTCTTAACAAATTTCCCTAATGAGAAGCATAGGCTTTACCTGTGTTACAATGACAGGTGACAAGTCTTTCAAGTTCTGGATATGGGTTAGTAATGAGTCCCGCAAAGAGGCATGAGAGTCTGTGGGGAGCTCATAAAATGAGGTCTGAATCTTCATTTTCATGGTCTGTGCAGCAAAATAGCATGATTCTACATCCTGTCGAATCTGTAGCAACTGGTCTGAAATCTCCCATGCATGAACCTGAAAGCAGATCAAACAAAATGTCTTAAGGACTGCTTTTCTAAATAAATTTAATATTACACAACCTATATACCAAAGTATAATGAAAGAAAAATCTGACAAACTAAATTATCCACTAATCAGCCAATACTTAAAATTTATAGGCTCTATTAAACAAAAATATTACCTAAACTCTTCTGACTAATTCTAGGAAAGCATAAGAGTTATCAACTGAATCAAAAAATCTAAACCTGCTGTTAGAATCATTAATCGTGTAGGGAGGAGATTATGAAGAAAAACGTCCCAGAAGTTTCTACTCAAGCTAAAATGTCACTGCATAACTTTCCAACCCTAATGTATAGGTTGGCTGTTTCTTCTTTTTTCCACTTAAAATAAATAAGCTTTGTTCACTCTGAGAATTGAGTCTGGAACCTAATTTAGTATATTAATAAACAGGAAACATTTCGATCTTTTGTTCCTGAATAAAACCTCAGAAAAACTCTCAAGATATCCCAAGTCAATATCTCACATAATTAAGTTATTTTTATATATTTGGCAAAGTACTATTCATGCTATTAAAATCATTTTCAAAGGAGAAAATAAGTGTTTGTATAGAAATAATAAAGAGAACAAAAGCATAGAATTTGGTCCCTAACAACTAGTCATAGTTATAAAATGGATTCCTATTTTGAAAGATAACTTTTGAGAATTAAATCGAACAGCACACAATAGGCAACTAATTAACAACTGACAGTAAAGCAATTCTACACCAAACTGCCTCTTCATGGGAAAAGGCTAAAATGGACTGGCAATGATGGACTGAAAAAAATTTTCAGTCTTAATTCGGAAATAGAGTTAATGTGAAGAGAAATCACACAGATTTACCTGGTCAATTTTTTATGAAGATAGAGCATTTCACAACTAATATATAGTGATTTTTTAAATTATTTCAGAGAGGAAGGGAGAGAGAGAGAGAGAGAGAGAAACATCAATGATGCGAGAGAATCACTGATCGGCCATCTCCTGCATGCCCCCTACTGGGGATCGAGACAGAAACCCTGGCATGTGCCCTGACCGGGTTTCAAATTGTGACCTCCTGGTTCATGGGTTGACGCTCAACCACTGTGCCACACTGGCTGGGCCATAGCTATTCTTCAAGATCTTTCCAAAGATAAACAGGAAGTCAAGGGAGAAAAAGGTAGAATAAATGCCTATACAAGTTTCCAAAGTAAACTAAAAATAGAGACCCTGAAATTCACCACAGGTTTATTGAAATAAAACTTCACTTTAAATCAGTAAGTTGGTGGGATATAAGCATGAAACATTAACTTCTTTCTAGATCATATTATTTTACTTTTTTTTGGAACTTGTACCCCAGCATGTTGCAAAAAATCTCCCAGCCACATAATTTTTAGTGATTCATTATCCAACCAGTAACTCAACTACATCTGTTACTTAATATGCCATTAAAATGTATTTTGCTCAAAATGACACTTAAAAAAAAAAAAAGATTATATGAAGCCTTGAAATCTCCATAAATGCCCTCATAAAAACAGAGTATTTATGCAGTAAAACTAAAGAACTATGGACATTTATAACAAAAATAGGTGTTACCTAGTTATCTCCAAGAACCCCAAATTTTAAGTGGTTGGGGACAAACCAGTGACATCAACAAGACTTGTAGAGTTTCAGTTTTAGTAGAAGCAGAAGTAGAAGGAAACAACAGGTAGCTAATGGATCTAAGAGCAGATGAACAACAAAAGAGCCAACAGGTATTCACTAGAAAGCACAGGGAGCCAACTTGAGGACTATATTTGAAAATGGAAGAGGTTTTGGTGGGTAGAAAAGGCGAATGAAAGAGGTCTACGTAAGGGCTAAAGAGATGGAAATCTCTATGAACTCTTGAAACTGAAGAGCTAGGACAGGGCTTTAAACTGAGAAGTAGTATGAACAAAATCAAAATCATACAGGACAAGTACAATTGAGACAAAGGGAACAAAGGAGAAGGTTAACAAAGCTAGGAAATCTTAGAAATAAACCATGTTTGTAAATACTACCTGAAAACAACAGAAAAGGAAGCTCTTTAAATTGGAAAATACTATCCTTAACCATGCCTTCTAAAAGTTCAAAAAAAACTAATTTCACGCAAAAATAAGCAAATGGCCCGGCCAGTGTGGCTCCGTGGTTGAGGATCAACCCATGAACCAGGAGGTCACAGTGTGATTCCCAGTAAGAGCACATGCTCAGGTTGTGGGCTCGATCCCCAGTCGGCAGCATGCAGGGGGCAGCCAATCAATGATTCTCTCTCTCCCTCTCCCTTCCTCTCTCTAAAGTCAATAAAAATATATTTTAAAAAATAAACAAATGAAGTCAAATGCCATATATACAGAAGTGGTTGAGAAGAAAATAATGAACAGAATAATATTCCTACAAAAAAAGTAGGCCAGAAAAACATTTTTAAAATTAGCCTGAAGTCCAAAGGACATAACAGTCAACCTGAAAGAGCTTCCAATGGCCACAGTTAGAAAATCTGGGGTAATAAAATTAATTATGACAGTATTAGATTATAACTAAAAAATAAAACAAATATCCTTGAGTCATACAGGTGTGAATAACAACTGAATAACTGTTGAGGCGTTATTTATAGGCTGTAAGACACTTTATATCCTATGCTAGGTAATGAATGTAGAAGGAATGAGAAAAATAGAAACACTACAGGTAATAATTGCTACTGGCAAGATTCATGTATAAATGATAAAATTAGTGGGTGAAACTTTAAAGAGAAACATGATATATCAAAGTATCTCCCCAAAATATTTGTTACTGTGGTGGTTTTACGCTATGTCCACAAATTCTTTGACACTTACCATGTAAGAACTCAGACTACTCTGCTGGAGAGACAATGTACAAGACCAGGAAGTCTCTGGAAAGTCATGGAAAGCAAGAGGAGCCCAGCTAAGTCCAGCCTTCCAGCCATTCCTACCAGAGTGTCAAGCATGTAAACAAAGCCATCTGAGAACCTCCAGACCAGCCCATCCACCAAATGGATGCCTCATGGAGCAGAATTATCTTCCACGGAGCCCTGCTTGAATTCGTGACCTACAAAGTTATGAGACACAATGAAATTGTTTTTGTTTTAAGTCACTATGTTTTGAGGTAATTTGTTTCACAATAGATCATGAGAACAGACAATCAGATAGTATGTGCATCCTGATGAAAAAAACAGGATCAAATGACAATTATTTCAAATCATTCTGTGTCTCATCAAGCCTTTGGATCCAGCTGGCAATTTTCAGGAAATACAGAAGAGAGTAGAACTGCATCATACTGCAATCATCAAAATCTAGACCATAGGGAAACTCAGCAAGTCAAATGGCCCAGATTCCTCAACAGATAAATAATCCACACACAGAGAAAGAACCCATAGATTAAAAGACACTCAGAAGATATTTTAAAAACAAATAGCAAGATCAAAGTAATGTGGAAGAATACCCACTTGGGTGATAAAACCATAAAGATAAACAAAGAAGGGATTACTATGAAAGGACCGTGGTTACTTTTAGGGAGAGGAAGCAGTTATTTCAAACAGGCCACAAGGAAGACTTCTAGAGTGGCCAGTGAAGTTCTATTTCTTAACTTGGTAGTGTCTATATGAACACTGTATACAGTAATTCATTAAGTTATATATTTTTTTCTATATCTGTTTAAAAACAGAATAGACAAAACAAAACAGAAATAATATTGCCTATTAAACTGAACTAGTCTGAAGTCTTCTCCCAAGTGAAACCTTTCAACCCACTAGAGATCGGGACCCTGTGAAAAAGTTCATTGATTGTGCAGCGCTATGTTGTGCTTTAATCTGAATGGCAGAAACTAGCAAAAAATACCAACTGATCATGCTGGGTTATATATATTTCTGACCAAACATTTCTATCTCCTTAAAAGGAGAGGTCTCAAAAATGAAGGACAGAACCAAAAGTCAAAACAAAACAAAAATACTATTTCCTTCTGGGGGTAGGGATGCAAAGATTTATTTTTCAAGCACCTTTAATGTCTGAATATTTTTTAACATATCCTTTGGAATTGCCTTTAAAAATAAAGATGGATTTGTATTCCTAATATGGAAAGATCTCCAAATATACAATTGAAAAACAGATACAGGTACAGATTTGTAAGATCCTTTTTGTAAAAATGTAATTTACACTTTTTTTAAGAAAGTGCAATGAAGCTTTTTTAAAATTGATTTTGAGAGAGAGAAATATCGATTTGTTGTTCCAATTATTTATGCAATATTGATTGATTCTTGTATGTGCCCTTAAAGGGGATCAAACCAACAACTTTGACTTATCTGAACAACACTCTAAACAACTGAGGTACCCAGCCAGGGAATAGAAAGTGTAGTGAAGCTTTGTAACACACAGGAGTTAGTTTTATGCTCTATATGCTCCCTAAGCAACCTGACGCTATCATTCTCATAGCATTTATCAGGTGCTTCAACTTTGGCTATAACATACTGGATGGCATTACACCAATTTTCCATCCTAAAACAAGTACAAAAGATGAATAAAAAAGAGCTTCTTTGAGGACATCAAAGCTATCAAGATAGCTAGAACATGAAGTTGCAAATTCCAGAGATGAAATAGAAAAGCACAGAGTTAGCTCAATATTTAGCTCCACTTTTTCATAGGAAAAAGCATTTGCCTATTTCAAAGTGGAAGACAAGAGGCTAAAGAGCCTTGGGTAGTCTCATAAGACTGGGGAGATGAAAACAAATTTAGGGCACACCAAGGAAGAGGAGTCCTGGTAAATACTCCAGACTTTCAGTTGGGACTCAAGTGAAGAAAATAGAAACTACACCTCAAAAAAACGGAAACATCTCCAAGGCAGACCAGATGACAGGCCACAATATAAGTCCTAATAAATATAAAAGAATTAGAATCATAGAAAGTGTCTTTTCAAATCACAATGAGAATAATAAGGAAAACTGCAAAATTCACAAATATGTAAAAATTAAAACATTGTAAAGCAACCACTGGGTTAAAAAAGAAATTTGAAAAAATTTTAAGACAAATGAAAATGGAAACAAAACTTATGAGATGCAGCAAAAACAGTTCTAAGAGGGAAATGTGAGTGAGGAGGTGGTTCTCGCCCGTGTTGTGTGTGAGTGTGTGAGTGTGTGAGTGAGTGAGAGAGCGAGTGAGTGAGTGAGTGAGTGAGTGTGTGGGGGGACTTGCTTGTTGTCGGTGACTTCCCCCTCCCCTCCACCCTTACCCCTTCCCTGGCGCTGCTGCAGTGGCCGCTCCCTGGGCCGTAGGAAATGAGCGATAACGATGACATCGAGGTGGAGAGCGACGCTGACAAACGGGCTCATCATAATGCACTGGAACGAAAGCGTAGGGACCACATCAAAGACAGCTTTCACAGTTTGCGGGACTCGGTCCCATCACTCCAAGGAGAGAAGGCATCCCGGGCCCAAATCCTAGACAAAGCCACAGAGTATATCCAGTATATGCGAAGGAAAAACCACACACACCAGCAAGATATTGATGACCTCAAGCGGCAGAATGCCCTTCTGGAGCAGCAAGTCCGTGCACTGGAGAAAGCGAGGTCGAGTGCCCAACTGCAGACCAACTACCCTTCCTCAGAAAACAGCCTCTACACCAACGCCAAGGGCAGCGCCATCTCTGCCTTCGATGGGGGCTCGGACTCCAGCTCAGAGTCGGAGCCTGAAGAGCCCCAAAGCAGGAAGAAACTCCGGATGGAGGCCAGCTAAGCTCTGCCGGGCAGGCCAGCAATAAAAACTGTCTGTCTCCTCCGTCGTCTCATCCTCCTTTCAGTTCATCCTTAGAACCCTCAGAACCATTTAAGAGACTCTATTTTTTTTCCTTTCTCTTTTTTTTTAAATTTTATTTTTACGTAGAAGCTCTTGGACAACAGCTCTCGTTCTCCTTCCCCACTTCCACTATTTTTTTTTAATGTTTCCCTTCAGGGATTCCCTGTCCCCACCAGGAATTTTTAAACCAAAACACCCCAACTTGGCAGCTTTTTCTGTGGAGGACAGACGGCCGGCCGGACCTCTGAGCACATGGTGTCCTGACCACCCACCAGCTCCTCCAGCCCTGCCGGGCACAGGCCCGGAGGACTCCTACCCCTCCCAGGCCTCCCCAGGCCACCCTTGCCTCTGTTTGATAGACTTTGTGAATCTGTGGACTGCTCTACTTTAAGAAGATGACTGGTTTAAGAAGTGATGAGAATTAAAAAGCTATTTATCGCTCCTGTTGAAAGACCAGATCCTTGAAGAAGTTTGTGGTGTGAAAGGAAGTGGGGACAGAGTTGCAGCACAGTCTTGGGCCTGTTTCACTCCTGCTTCTTTCAGCCAGCCTTCGGGAGGGCCTCGGGACACTCGTGTGGTGTGGGGGGCGTCAGCAGTGAAGTGGCCGCCAGAGGGTGCTGGGGGTGGGAGGGCAAGGAGGGAAGAGCGGGTGGGGTAGAGGTTTTGTATTGAGGGCCAGTGATGATGTTTTGATATTTATTTCCTGCTACTGAAATTTGAATCTGAGTGAATTGTCCCTATTCCTGATGATGTCGGTATTGCAAAGCGACAGATTCATAAAGTAATGATCAAATCTTCCTTTCTTTCCGTGTGTATTTCTAAGAAATAGAGCCAACTGATTTTTTATGTAAATACCAAGAGCAATTTACCTGGTACTAAACCCGCACCCCAGTGCGGCCCCTTCCCACCCTTGCCCCACGTCCTTCCCGACTGTTCTGGAACCTGTCCCCACGGTGACCCAGCCCTGGTTCTGGCTGCGATCAGCAGCTCCCAGTGAAGGGTTTTGTGTGTTTAGGCCTCATTTCTTTGTCTTTTTCCTACTCCGTTCCTGGCATTTGCTGATTTCTAGTGTATACTCTGTAGTCTCAGTCTGTGTTTGATTCCATTCCATGGAAATAAAAAGTATGTTGTACATACTGCCGAAGAATTGTCTTGCAAGTTAAGGCTTCCCCCTTTACTATAAGACTATAAAAAAATAAAATAAAAAATAAAATAAGAGGGAAATGTATAGCTATTTACTCTTATGTTAAAAACAAAACACATCTCAAACCAATACCTAACTTTATACCTTAAAGATCTAGAAAAAGAATACACTAAACCCGAAGCTAGCAAAAGGAAGGAAATAAAGATTAAAGCAGATATACAAAATCCAAGATTTGATTCTTAAAGAAACCAACAAAATTGACAAACCTTAGCTAAATTAACTAAAAGAGACAGGAATGAAATGACAATGAGGACATTATTACCAATTCTAAGGAAATAAAAAGGATTATAAGAAACTAGAGGCCTGGTGCCTAAGCTGTCAACCGGACATCCTCAGCATTGCTGTGGAGGCGGGAGAGGCTCCCGCCACTGCCGCTGTGCGCACCAGTTGTGAGCCCGGCTTCTGGCTCAGCAGCGCTCTCCTTGTGGGAGTGCACTGACCACCAGGAGGGAGCTCTTGCATGGAGCGTCTGCCCCCTGGTGGTCAGTGTGCCTCGTAGAGACCAGTCATTCCACTGTTCAGTCTATTTGCATATTAGGCTTTTATTATATAGGACTAGAGGCCTGTTGCACGAAAAGATTCATGCAATAGGCCTTCCCTTCCCCTGGCTGCCTGCACTGGTTTTCCTTCGGCACCGGGGACCCAGACCTTCGCTCTGGCCAGAGCCGCCTTCAAAGCCTTCGCTGCTCCAGCCAGAGCCGCCTTCAAAGCCTTCGCTGCTCCAGCTGGACCCGCTTTGATCGCTGCTCCGACTGCCTTCAAAGCCTTCCCTGCTCCCGCCGGAGCCGCCTTCGGTCTTCACTCTGCCGCTTCCCACCTACATATGCAAATTAACCATCACCTTTGTTGGCGGTTAATTTGCATATCTCACTGATTAGCCCATGGGAAGTGTAGCAAAGGTATGGTCAATTACCCTATTTGTCTATTATTAGATAGGACTAGAGGCCCGGTGCACAAAAATTTGTGCACTCGGGGGGAGGGGGTCCCTCACCCCGGCCTATGCCCTCTTGCAGTCTGGGACCCCTCGGAGGATGTCCACCTGCTGGCTTAGGCCCACTCTCTGGGGGATCGGGCCCAAGCTGGCAGTCAGACATCCTTCTGGCAGCCTGGCAGCCCTCGGGGGATGTCCACTTACCAGCAGGGAGCAGGCCTAAGCTGCAGTCGGACATCCTTAGTGCTGCTGTGGAGGCGGGAGAGGCTCCCACCACCACCGCTGTGCTGGCAGCCATCAGCCTGGCTTGTGGTTGAGCAGAGCTCCCCCTGTGGGAGCATACTGACCACCAAGGGACAGCTCCTGCATTGAGCATATGCCCCCTGGTGGTCAGTGTGTGTCATAGTGACCAGTCATTCCCAGTTGTTCTGCTGTTAGGGTCAATTTGCATATTACCCTTTTATTATATGGGATAGAGGTCTGGTGCATGGGTGGGGGCTGGCTGGTTTGCCCTGAAGGGTGTCCCAGATCAGGGTGGGGGTCCCGCTGGGGTGCCTGGCCAGCCTGGGTGAGGGGCTGATGGGTGTTTGCAGGCTGGTCACACCCCCTTCAGGGTGGGGGTCCCCTCTGGGGTACCTGGCCAGCCTGGGTGAGGGGCTGATGGTTGTTTGCAGCTGGTCACACCCCCTTCAGGGTGGGGGTCCCCACTGGGGTGCCTGGCCAGTCTGGGTGAGGGGCTGATGGCTGTTTGCAGGCTGGCCAAGACCCCTGTCAACGGAAACTCCCAGCCTCTCCTTTTTTTATTATTATTTTTTTTTATTCTGGATTTACCTTCTATAATTGAAACTTTGTACCTTGAGAGGAGCTCAGAGCCAGCGAGGGCAGGCGGAAGGGAAGCTTGGCTTCCTCCATCGCCAGGGGCAACCCACGCCTCCTGCTTGCTCCAGCTCCGTGGCCATGGCTGGCTGAAAGCAGGTATTTGGGGTTTATTTATCTTCTATAGTTAAAACTTTGTTGCTTTGAGTGGAGCTCCGAGCCGCCGCGGCCGGCGGAAAGCTTGGCTTCCTCCATCATTGGGGCAACCAAGCCCTCCTGCTTGTTCCAGCTCCGTGGCTGCCGGCTGCCATCTTGGTTGGGTTAATTTGCATATAGTCACTCTGATTGGCTGGTGGGCATGGCTTAAAGTGTAGCAAAGGTACAGTCAATTTGCATGTTTGTCTTTTATTAGTGTAGATACCATGGAAGAGAACCAAGATGCGGCCTCCCACAACCACATCAAAATTACAACTAAAATACAGAACAACCATCATTCAGAACCTACTGAAATATGGCTCAATGGAAGTCCTAGAAAAGTGAAGTCCTTATAATTTCGGGCTGTAAAAACCAGTGGGGATTGTGGCTGAGTGACACGGAGGCTGCTGGAGACCCAGAGAGTTCCTCTTAAAGGGTCTGCGCGTGAACTTACTTGGACTCACTACCTCTGAACTCCAGCCCTTGGGCAGCGGCTTGGGGAGGTTCATGGGACATATGGGGAGGAATTAGATTGCCTGACATCGGAGCAAGACCTTGGGAGCGGCTTTCTCCCAGACAGGGGTGCTCACAGGGGTCACTGTTCCTATGCTGAGACCTCCCCCATTGCAGAGCTGACTGGAAGCCATATCTGGGTTTCAATCAGTCTGGCCCACACAGTTCGCTCCATTCTGGTGATTTCCTGAGGCCCCACCTCATCCACTTTGCAGCTCCACACAAGCTTTCTGCAATGGCTTTCTCATATGGATGGCCTATCCTGGCTCAGGCTTCAGACTTTCCTAAAATCTCTTAAGAAAGCAGTAGCTGGCATCACCATGCTCCATAACTATCAATAAGAAGCCCAAGACCTGGCACTAATATCAGTCTGCCTGGCTTCACAGTTTGGTCTCGCCTGGGCACTTCAAAGCCCAACACAAGTAGCAGTCATCTGCAGATCGCTCTGTAGCTCCTGCCCGCTGGCCCCAGGCAGTGGCTGAGTTTGCACCTCCCAGCAGGCCCCAGAGCCAGTGCACTCAGTAGACAACTTCAGACCATACCAGATTACAATTGTACACATTCATAGCAACACACTCAAGGGACAGACTCAGTGAGCACTAAAGCCCCACTGAAGCAAGTCCTGCTGCATAGGTGTGTCTTCTCCACAACAGCTTTTCCACTGTAGTAACAGCTGGTCTTCACAGCCAATTGGCCTAGAGGTCAATTCTTCCCAGTAATGCCAACGTCAATTAAGGCTCAACTACAATAAGACTGTGCACACAGCAAACACGGGGGTGCACCTAGAGTGCCCAGCTTGGGTGACTGGGAGCCTGAACCATTGGGCCCTACAGGACACCTACTACACAGGCCATTCTACCAATTCTAAGAGACATAGCAGCTCTACCTAATACACAGAAACAAACACAGGATACCAAGAAGCATGTCACAAATGAAAGAACACAAGAAATCTCCAGGAAGAGAACTAAAGAAATGGAAGCAAGCAAAGTACTAGACTCAGAGTTCAAAACAATGGTTATAAGGTTGCTCATGGATCTTAATGAGAGCTTAAGGGACTTAGTGAGAATTTCAAGAACCTGAGTAAGAACATCAAAGACATGAAAAAGGACTGTAAGATATTAAGCACATTCCCCCTAGCTGGTTTGGCTCAGTGGATAGAGCATCAACCTGTGGACTGAAGGGTCCCGGGTTCGATTCTGGTCAGCGGCACATGCACGGGTTGCCGGCTTGATCCAGCTGATCAATGATTCTCTCTCATCATTTATGTTTCAATCTCTCCCTTTCCCTTCCTCTCTGAAATCAATTTAAAAAAATTTTAAAAAGAAATTAAGCACACTCTAATTGAAATAAAGACAAATTTATAGGGATTCAACAGTATAGTAGAGGATTCTGAGAATCAAATCAATAATTTGGAATATAAGGAAGCAAAAAACTCCTAATCAAAAGAGCAAAAAGAAGAAAAATCCAAAAATATTAAGACAATATAAGGAACCTCTGGGACAACTTCAAGCATAGCAACATTTGCATTATGGGATGCCAGAAGGAGAAGAGAGAGTGTAAGATGTTGAAAATTTATTTGGAGAAAAAATAACAGAAACTTCCCTAACCTGGTGAAAGAAATAGACTTACAAGCCCAGGAAACCCAGAGAGTCCCAAACAAGAGGAACCCAAAGAGGTCCACACCAAGATACATCATAATTAAAATGCCAAGGGTTAAAGACAAAGAGATAATCTTAAAAGCAGCAAGAGAAAAGCAATTAGTTACCTACAAGGGAGCACCCACACAACTGTCAGCTGATTTCTCAACAGAAACTTTGTAGGCCAGAAGTGAGTGGCAAGAAATATTCAAAGTGAAGAACAACAACGGCCTACAGCCAAGATTACTCTATCCAGCAAAGCCATCATTTAGAATTGAAGGTCAGATAGAGCTTCACAGACAAGAAAAAGCTAAAGGAGTTCATCACCACCAAACCAGTATTACATGAAATGTTGAAGAATATTCTTAAAGAAAGAGGAGGAGGAGGAGGAGGAGGAGGAGGAGGAGGAGGAGATGGAGGAGAAGAACAAGAATAAGAACAAGGAGGAGGAGGAGGAGGAGGAGAAGGAGAAGAAGAGATAAAAAAATATGAACAATAAAAT